ACTAAATGAATTAAACCCATGAATTAATTAATCTAGGAATGAATGAATGAATAAATGCAGCCAAAGCTACTGCTGTGTTCTTCCCAGCCACTCCTGAAACTGAAAAGGCTCCAGTGGATTGTGCCAGGTCCATTTGTGAAGGTTCAATTTGACAGGTGTATTCCTAAAAGTCTATGCATGGGAATCTTCTCAACTAGTGGTCAACACGCAGAGTTAGATAAGGGTCAACACAATCAAAGGGGGGAGGGGAGTTGGACTTAGTTCATTTGTGGCTATTCTAGGCTGACCCCTTATTTCACCCATCCCAATTTTCATCCCTGACCTGCAGAGAATACATGAGAAAGAGACAAAGAAGGTATTAAAGGGAGGAGATAAGACAAAGAGAAAGACAGAGCAATTGACAACTTTGACATTTGTGATAGGTCTCCATATCTTTCAACCTTTGCAAACCATCTTGTCTTCCAACACATCTAGACCAGCTTCTGGCTTCTAGAAGAAAGGTAGGGCATTTGCTGGCAGGTTCCTTGAGAGTCATTCAGATGCCAGGCCCACTGTGAGAAAAAGTAATTCTTGGAGGAATTTGTCTTCCCCATAAAAGCTACTTCGAACTTTGGGGAAGAAATGGAGTGAAGATTGTTCCATGAAAAGGGAAGCTGATGATTTTGGCGGAATGAAGAGCTGGTGAATAGCCCAGCTCTTCAATATTTCCTCCCTGGATTAAGAGAGGATTTGAGATCACCCACATGCGCTCCAGATAGTTGTTCCTCATGAAGAGACCACAAGGCCACAGTTTCTATTGTTCCCTTTTCTCTTTTCTGCACCTTCTAATTTTTCTTTCCTTTCCTTGTTTTATTTTGCATTAATTTCTATTGTTATTTTAATTTTAAATAAAATTACTCTTTAGAAAGATGCAAGGGCTAGCTACTCGTGTTCTTACAATTCATCTCCATTTATTTTATCGTGGGAATTGTTTTGTAGGCACCTTCTACCACAGTTCATGGGTTCAGCTTTCATTTTTCTTAGGAGGATCAACAAAACACGTTCCTTGAGAAACGTATATATTAATTCAAATACAATTTAGACCAGAGATTATTTTTTATTAGAGTTGATGGACAAATTCTAGAAAAAAAACCATGGTACATTAATCTTATATTTGGTTACAGCAGTAAAATTCCTATATAGTCAACATTGGAAAGATTCTACTGCACTGGCAATGGATGAGTGGTACATCAGTATTCACCTGGCTAGCATCCTGTCAGTGTGTGAGAGAGTTGAGGGCTGTTTGGAAACTGAAGCAGTATTTGCTGTGTGAGCAAGGAAGGAGACAGTAAGGAACCTAGGTGTAGCTTAGCTCAACTGTTCTGTACTGAAGCTGCTTGGTGCTGTGAAACTGACACTGAAACTCCTCTCCTCTGCTTATGTTTTGCATTTGGAAGAGATTTCTTTTTTTTCAGCTGGGGAGGGGGAGTAGAACTCCTTAGCATCAGAGCATGTTAGTAATAATAATATAGGAAATCTAATGCTCTGATGGCCATTTCAAAAAATCCTTTTAAAATGTTTTTAAAAAATCCTTCCTCCCCAAAATGAGGGCTATGCTCTCTTCCAGCAGCTGAGAATCTTCCTCAGGGCCTCTTTCACCTCCCTGTTATGGAGGGTGTAGATCAAAGGGTTGAGCATGGGGGTGACAATGCAAAACATGGTGGAGATCAGAGCATCAACCTCCAGAGAGTATCCAGCACTGGGCTGGTTGTAATTCATACTTCCATTACCAACAAAGAGAGTTACCACACTGATATGTGACGCACAAGTGGAGAAGGCTTTGCGCCTGCCAGTGTTGGAGCGAATTCGCAGAATGGAAGCCAGAATGTAGATGTAGGACAGGATGATGAAGAGGAAGGGGCTGAGGCCCACAAAGAGGCTGGTGATGTGATTGGCCAATTCGTTGACCCACGTATCACTGCAGGCAATCTTCAGTAATGGGGGGACATCACAAAAGATGTGAGGAATATTGCGGTTTCCACAAAAGTCCAACCTAGATGCCAAGGTAACATGAATGGCCGAGTGTAGGAAGCCCCAGAGCCAAATGGCCACAGACAGATTGATGCAGACCTTGCCCCTCATCAGGTGGGCATAGTGCAAAGGTTGGCAGATGGCAGCATAGCGGTCATAAGCCATGATGGCCAGCAGTGCCAACTCACATCCCGCAAAGCCAATCAGGAAGAAGGCTTGTGCCAGGCATTGGTCGTAGGAGATGGTGTGCTGCTGGCGTAGGAAGTTCACCAAGATCTTTGGTACCACCACAGAAGAAAGGCAAATATCCAAGCAGGAGAGCTGGCTGAGGAAGAAGTACATGGGGGTGTGGAGACGGGAATCCAGGAGACTTAAGATGATGATCATGAAGTTGCTCATCAGGGTGGCCAGATAGGCAGCAAGAAGCACCAGGAAAAGGTGGGCTTCGTAGCTCAGCAGGTTGGAGAAACCCAGGAAGAGGAATTCTGTCAGTTGTGTTTGGTTCTGGGCGTTCATGAAGAAAAAACTGTGCAGCTGAGAGGAGAGAAAAAGAAGAATGTGAAGAAGAAGAAGAAAGAGTTAATGGTCCTTGGGAAACGCATGGAAGAAGTCAGAGGTCCTGGGTGGTCTCTGAGCTTGAGGAATCCTTCACTTCAGTGAAACATCTTCAAGGAAAAATGAAGTCTGATTGTCTTTTGGAAAAAAAAAAACACCTTTGGGACATCTCTGAGATTGGTTCTTATCTGGTTTCATGACCCAAACTAGATAACATCATCAGTGGTATGCATAGTACATCACAAGCACTGACGATGTTACCTAGTTTGGGTTATTGTGATCATAATCACAAAAACAACTGGAGACAACCAGAATTTCGCTCATGGCAGAAACATTTTCCCCAAGAGGGCTGGGGTTTATATCCAGGTTCAAATATACAGTCTCTGCCCCTTTCCTGGGTTCACAATCTATCCAAGATACGTATCTCCCTATGCCACACCCATATCATTGTTGCGTAACACCTGTTTCCTTGTCCTTGGAAACCACCCTTGTTCTCATGGCTCCTTCTTCCTGTTTTGAACATCTGGATCATTTACCCAGTTCCGTTCGGATCACAATGACCTAGTATCTCCCACATATATCATAACGCCAAGAAATACAACCCCCATGGTCCAGCCAAAAACCTGACATTTACTTTAGCACCTAACAAGTTACAAAACAGTGCATGTTTATTAGATATAGTTATAAAACTGTCCAATAATCATTTCATAGTTCAAATATTGGATAAACATGGAATCTCTTCTGTTCTTCATTTTCTCAGGTGCAACAATATTTAATTTCCACATATAACAGTCATGAAACGTCTACAAGAAAACAACCAAACTCAGAGAGCACCAAGGACCCCTCATCAAAGACCTCCTGGGCTACATATATTCTCCTTCAGAAGTAAAATTGCAAAGTCATTATTTGAGGTCTCCGTGGGACTGTGGAGGATGAAATTTTGGGGATCCACGCTACTCAGTGAACACCTGATTCCTCAAGATATTTGGATTAGAATTAGGTGCAAGAAAATGTGGGTGTCCAGACCCAGAGGAACAGAGCTTAATTCTTTCCCTTCATTTTGGGAGAATCTGGTGTGCAAACTCTGAGGAACACCTCTTCCAAATTTGATATCAGAACCATATTCTCAACAAATGACTTACTGGGGGAAGAAGGATCTGGTAATGGGATAGCTTTTCCAATGGGACCTACTCATTTCCTGATAAATTATCCACCTCCAAAGGGCACCAACAGCCAAAGAAAAATGCTTTTGAGAAAACTGTGAAGATCCACCAAGTTAAAGATCTGACTATCCTTTTCCTATGCTGCACAATTCCTTGTTCCTAAACCATGTTGCTGAAGCTGAGGACAGCATGAACAGAGAGCATCTGAAAAAGGCACATAGAACGGCTGTCATACTTCCTTCCATGGAGGACCTGTATCCTGCACGAGTCAAAAAGAGGGCTGTGAAAATATTTACAGCCCCCTCACATCCTGGACATAAACCGTTTCAACTCCCACCCTCAAAATGATGCTATAGAGCACTGCACACCAGAACAACTAGGCACTAGGACAGTTATTTCCCCAATGCTGTCACTGCTAAACAAATAATTCCCTCAACATTGTCCAACTATTGACAAAGTCCACATTACTATTATTCTTCTCATTCCTATTACCTATCTCCTCCCACTTATGACTATAACCATGTTGCTTGTATCTCTACAATTTAAATTGTTTTGTTTCCTAGTATGATTTGATTGCTTATTACTAACCCATGACTATCACTAAGTGTTGTATCTTATGATTCTTAATGAATGTATTTTATTTTTTATTTTTATGTACCCTGAGAGCTTCTGCACCAAAGACAAATTCCTTGTGTGTCCAATTATACTTGGCCAATAAAGAATTCTATTCTATTCTATTCTATTCTATTCTATTCTATTCTATTCTATTC